GGCCGTCTGGTCGGTGCTGGCGGCCCCGCTCATTATGTCGGTGGACCTGCGCACCATCCGACCCGAGTATGCGGCCATCCTGCAGAACAGCGCCGCGCTCGCCATCAACCAGGATCGGCTGGGCATCCAGGGCAGGCGCGTGTTCCAGGACCAGGGCATGGAGATCTGGCGGCGTGCAATCACGCCCCAGGTGGACGAGCAGTTCTCGTACGCGCTGGCGTTCCTGGACCGGCGCACGGACGGCACGCCGAGCCGGCTGACGATGACGCTGCGCGAGCTCGGCCTCGACAGTCCGACCGGCTACCGGGTGCAGGAGGTGTTCGACGGCCAGTCCTACGGCACGCTGCTGCCGGAAGACTCCATCACCGTCCATGTCAACCCAACCGGTGTCACCTTCCTGCGCTGCGATCTGGTGGCCTAGTGTTGCCATGTGTTAATACAGCCGATTTGATGTGAGGTGACCTTTCATAAGCGTGTCCGTAGTGTATGCAGACATGCGCACAGGGTTTTTGAATGTGAGACACTGCCTCCAGACCGGATCACCTATGCCAGAGACGTTTCCCAGAAGAAAACTCCCAAAGTAATTCAATCTCGTTTTGCTGGAACTTTTGTTTATGTAAGCCGTGTTAATTATCAACATGGCCTGCGTTTCAATTCTTGTCTTGTGTAAAACTGTATGTCTAGACACTTTTTCATACTGAACGCGAATTAACCCTCGCCGGCCGAGGGGGGGGGGGGGTGCCACCCCCCATAGGTTTTTTTTTTCGCGATAGCTCCGAACACGCTGGGGATAGAGAGCTGAAACTTGGCATACTTGACCTTTGATTCAAGCCGGATCTTTTGACACCAACCGCATTTTTTGGTCAGGTCAGGTCACTGACCTATGACGTCATAAGTGAACCTCTGCACGGTCTTCAGATATCGCAACTTCGCAACGCCCTCACTGCCAGAGGAGATGTCACAGGGAAATGAAACTTCCAGGATCTAGTATCCATTATAAGTCTCACAACTTGTATATCTCGGATTTTTCCTTAAGGTCATATGAGGTCAGGTCATTTTCGTGACCTCACCATTATAAGTCAATGGGGAAAAATGAAAACTGCTATTCTGGCGCCGGGAACGATCTCCAACTATCTCAAGCACACAGAATCGTGATTTGATGCACTCCTTGCAAGGTTAGATGCGTCAGTTTTGCAATGTTGACCTTGCATGACGTCATTTATGACGTCATCAAGGTCATATTAGTTTTTCGTCAATAACTCTTGATCAACTTGAGCTAGCGAGTCGAGAAAGCCACCAATGGACTCAGGAAGACCTGCCGAATCGAATGATATGCGACATGACCTCTTTCGACAAACTTCGTGACCTGGGGGTGCTGACCTGACCTTGACCTGAGGTCAACACCCCAAGTTGACCTGACCCCGACAAAAAGTATATCATTCGACGCGCCTGAGCGAGGCAAACACGATGCTACCAAAATCGGCGCTCTGCGGCCGTTTTTTGCGAAGTTATTCACCAAAAACTGAACCGTACCTTGGGGCACTTGATCTGACCTCAGAGGTCACCGGTTGACCTAGGACCTTAAAATCGGGTACCAATCTCTGCGTCTCGTAACGGCGCACACGCTCGTTTTTTTCGCGACGCGCTAGCTCCACCAGGGGCGAAACGGCGAAGGGGTCGTACCCGCCCCCCCCCCCTCGGCCGGCGCGTATGTAGAAAACCAATAGGTCCGGCGAGGGTTAAACTTCAGTCATGCATTTAACCCAACCACCCTGTCGCGCTTTTTTTGCGTGTGAAATTGAATAAAAAAAAAACGCGGCGCGTAGCGCTGCGCCGCAGTAGCTTTTTGTATATCAATTATGGACAATGTGTGAAATTTTTGACCCCAGGTCATGTCAGGTCAGGTCACCAGGTCAAGTTATTTGACCAAGCCTAACAAAGTTTGCAATCATGTCCAGCCTGCAGTGTTTGTCAGAGAGGTTTTAAACTTGGTAGATGGCATGATGTTGTGGGCACCTATAATTTGTATATCGGATTTCTTATATCCGTGACCTAAGGTCAGGACAGTGGCGTGACCTTTCCATTATAAGTCAATGACGAAAAATGAGAATGCCTCTAGATCCGTTTGTACGGATAGGAACAGTCAAAATACTTCAGAATCACAATGACTTGGACCACCCGTGACGACCAAGGTGCCTTTTTTGCTGATAGCTTCTATGTAGAAAGGTCATCCGAGGTCATTTGAGATTACAAACAGATTTTTGCCAAACACTCTCGATTGAAAAGAGATGGAACGCTGGGGATGGCTTCATTGTGTTTGTCTTGTCGAGACACATATAATGATATGCAGCATGACCTATTTTGGTCACCGCGTGACCTTGACCTGAGGTCAAAATTTGACCTTGACCTTTCCAGGTAAAAAAATATATTTTTTGAAGCGACTGAAGGAGATTAACACGACAGTGCCATTGCCAATTCCTCATCTTTGCTGGTTCGAAAGATATTCGTGAAAAAAATGTTATCCAAAAACAGCGATTTTCACAGTGTTTGACTTATGGAGGCTTAACCGTTGACCTGAGGTCAATTTGGATGATGACCTTATCAAAAGAACTGTTCAAAGGCAATCGATTGCTTTTCCATGCGTTTTTCTAGCTATCATAGTTCCTGAGATAACGGCATGTTTTCTGAAAAAAATATAATGACATGTGGCAAATTTTGACCTTTGATGACCTCTGGTGACCCCAATATTTCTCTAAGATGAAAAATGATTGAAATACTTTCAAACCTACGCATTGAGAGCTATCGACTGCTTTTTACCGCGTCTTTCTAGCTCTCTTAGTTTTACTGTTTTTGAGTTAGAGGTGGGTGGTAACATATGCCTCCCCCCCCCCCACACACACACTATGGCGAAGTTGGCTGAGACCGCCACTGGGGCGTGGGTTAAGTCACATATTGAAGCTCTGTTGGATTCGAATTATATCTATTCCTTGGGGACAATCAGCTCCATCTCGGATGGCAGGAGCCATGGACCCTCTTTGGGCTAGACAATACCTAGCGGTATCACTTAACGAAAGTACATTTTAGTCTTTTCAGGCATGGAATACGGTCTCTGACATTTAGTTGTCTTTCTTTTACCCAGAACGAGTGTCTTATATCTGAGTTTGGCATTTCTAAGACTAAAAAATATTAGGTCTTGGGTCCTTACTGGACTCTAGCATGTCTTATTTGATCCTTCGCAGACTTATGACGGGTCCTTTTAGGACAAGGAATGGCACCCGGGACTATGTGTGAAAAACTAACCAGGCCTATACAGACCTCTCGGACTTGATTTGGATTCGACTTCGACTAAACAGGCCTTCCTTGACTGAGTAAGGGTCCCGAAGACCTGAAAATGCATATCAGTCTAGGCCTGAGATAGGGCTGAAACGGCCTGAGAAAATCTGTGAAGCCTGACATTGATCATCTTAGCTCTTAATTAACCCTCAACCGCACAGAGGGGGGCACCCCCAGGTAGTTTTTCTGCTCTGCACTAAACATTTTTTACCGCTAGAAGCCTGGGTTTTCGTATAGCTGCTTCTCTATCCCTTCTCAATGACCCCTGAAAATTTCAAGTTTCTGTGGTTTTTGGTTTCGGAGATATGACCTTGTTCTTCAGGTCATGTCATGACCCAAATGACCAATACCCGATATCTTGCGTTGGCTATGGGTCTTCTGAGCTTTTTGACACCTTGATTTCGGTATTTTTTTTTTTGCTAGTCTTACCCCCCCCCCCCCCACCTATCATGGAACATCTTCGACGACGTAGAGACGACGACGTAGATTATTCGACGATGTAAGTACAGATGTAAGAGTCAAGGTCAAGGTCAACCTAGGTCATCTAAGAACATTTCATTTCAGGCTAGCTGAATTTACTTTTCGTGAAGATTTTTTTTTACTGCATTTTTTTGTAAAAGCTTCTCAGTTCATGATCCCATGTAATAGGGACGCACAAACCAACCGGTGCTCACATCAATATACACACAGAGACACACAGACATACAAACACATATCATTGACCTTGACTTAACTTAACCTGAAATGACCACAGCCGGTAAAAACCTAGTCGGATAGTGTGACAAAAAAGAGCTGTTCTAGCTGGTTTGGCACCACAAACGGCAGCGTCATCGGTATATGATGGGCACCGCTCGTGATGTTCCAACCGTGTCCCCAAACAGCAACACTTTTTAGTTTCACCTGACCTGGAAGGTCATGATTGACTTAATGAGGTAACATTGGGTACCATTAGATTCGACTCTTCCCAACGAATCTGTTGGTCCTTGCCGCGACGCTCTATCTCCAGCAGCGAATAATAAATAGAAATTAATAACAGATAATTTCTTTCTAACTAATAATAAATAGAAAATAAATAACAGAAATAGCGCAGTGGGTGGCAACCCCCACCCCCCACCCCATGTGCGTTCTAGGATGGAAAAATGGCATGTGCGGGCGAGGGTTAAGGGTTGAAAGCGTAGTTGCAAGACAAGACTCTGATTTTTTAAAATGCACTCGCAACTCCTACCTGAAGCGCTGGCCCAGAGAAGGAGCAGTGTCGGCACTGAGAGCGCCTTTCTCGCCATGTCTTGTCTGTGCCCTACCCACGGAGCCGGGCACCTACGGACGATCAGAGTGCGCCGCTGTCCATGGAGGCAGGTGGCCCCGCAGCCTCGCCGCGCCACTGAGTCCCGGTCACTGGTGTCGGCGGCGGCGGACCGGACTTGCCACGTCGGCCCCATTGATTGCAGGCCGTCCGCCATCGGCGTTCCGTACGCCGCCAACGGAGGAGTTATAGGCCTGGGGCTCCGCTGAGGCGGCAAACTGATGTGTGTCCCTGCCCAGGTGCGGCGCAGGGACACACATCAGTGTGTGTAGACGCAGATGGCCCCCGGCCACTGCTCGCGCCACCATCGCCCGCATCTGCTCCCTGCCACCCCTCGGTCACCTGGCCACCTCAGAGACTTGGCCGTGGACAGATCTGTATTGGACCGCTCTGGATCCCGTCTTCGATCATTCGATTGTTACTGCAAACACATTCACACAATACGAGCTCGAGTCAAATACCAGTTGGCACGATGCCAAAATGGGTCACAACACAGCTCGGGGTCCAAGAACTCTGTTTAACATTCTACAAGCAAGTAAAGAAATCAAGCAATACACAGCAGACGTTGAGGTATTGAAATTCAAAGCAGATAGACAATGAACATTTTTAGTGATAACATACCGGCTTATCCCGTCTCTGGCGCGCTGCCAAACGACCACGGCGACCGAACTCACGAGGCCACCAGGGCAGCCTCCACAAACAAGCTCCACAGCTTGTCCTCCCCGAATCGGGGGCAACCGAGCCACTGTCCCGGAGAATCGAACATATCAGCTCATGTAAACCGGTTTTCACATTAAAGTTATACAACAAAAACGAATATTCATCACATAAATTCAATTGAGAAGTTACAATATTAGATTCAGCAGTTACAAACCTCTAGAACCTCACTCACCGGTACCAAAATCCGGAGCACCCGCAACACATCCGCCTCCAATCATGGCGGGGAACGAAAAGACCAAGATACCTATAAGAAACAGGTAGATCCGATGTTTGAAAGTAAAGCCCCAGTCACAAATTTGACGCACCTGTGACATTTCCTGACACCCACGTGACTATTGTATTAACTTTTGTGTTTTGCGATGTTTTGACCTTATTTAAAGTACTGAAAGCTCAAAATGTATGATTAATGTTGTTTAAAGCAGCATATTAATAATTATGTTTGTAAATTATCGATAAGCTGCTTATAGCAGGTCACGTGATTGCTACCAGATTATGTGCTCAGAAAGCATCTTTTCAACTTCGATTTTGAACAATTTTTACCTCCTTTGAGGCCAAATGATGGACGGTTTGAGGCACACGATGAAATGCTGAATCTATTGATGCCAAAATTTGTTCGTTTTTTGCATTTTTAGACTACTATATCCTGGCTCAAACTTTGACCAGTTTGTGTGTAAACCATATGGTGAAGGGAAAACTTCACGCCCAGCAGGCGTCTTTACAGTGCTGCCAAATCGTGTTTGGTGGGGGTCGGAAAAGACCGCCTTCCGCGCAGTCGGACTCGAGATCAGAACCGGTCACGTGACTGCCAGCGCGGCATTCGAAATTTCGGAAAACACAATATCCGCTTACAACCAGCACAATCGGTGCCCTACGAGATAGTACAAATATTCCAATGATATTTCAAAAGCAATTAATTAACAACGCCAGCTAATTAATGAAAACACGCGCACTATATCCCTACGCACAAGCGTTCAGCGGCCCGCCGCTCCAACGCGCACTTCGGCTCCTAGAGCCGCCGGTTTTATCGGGAAACGAGCACGAAGGATATGTGAAACGGGTCGGAAGAAGGACAAGCTGCAGGAAAGGATAGGATAGGACGGGCGCCATCTACAGTGTGGATTACTCGATTATATACCAAGAACAATTGTGTGTGTAGCAAATAACGTCAACGTACGTAAAGGGCATCCTTCTGCACACTTGATGGTCATTGTTACGTCATAATGAATTTTAACCCGCGCCCAAATGGGGGGGGGGGGGACTATTCATAGCCCCCTCCCGTTTTTCTGCAATAACTTCCAAACCGCTTGATGTATCGACGCGAAACTTGCGGTACCTTCGTCTGCATCAATTTGAAACGTTGTGTCAGAATATGACTTACGTAGCGTTCATAAGTCGGCTGGAAATGACGTCAGAGTGATGTCATGTTTGGCCGATTTCGACGCAAAATATTGAACCACGGAAATCGCTCCCAAGAGCTTAGTGGTTAAGATCGATCCAATTTCTTTGCATGAGAGGACTAAGAAAAGACTACGCCATTACTCTGCTATCTCGGATTTTCAAAATATTACAATTTTGAAAATTAGGTATATACTTAAAAATTAAAATATTATGTTTTCATTTTTCAAAAATTTTCAACTTTTCGAAAAACAGGAATACATGTGATAGAATACCCGCTTGTGACTAACTCTAGCAAGTTTTAGCCAGATATCTTCACAAATGGCCAGGTTATATGCATTAGGTATAGCAAAATATTAACAACTGTATTTTTTTTAAATCAATTTTTCAGTACATATTTGACATCGTACACCAATATATCTAGCACCATCGTGTTCCCAAACTGAAACTGCAGCCGATAGGCACGTTTTTGCTGCAAAATTCCAACGTGAAAATTTGACCTTTTTTACCTGAAAAAGGCCCGACCTAAGCTAAATTCAACTCAAAATGACCTCGAGTGACATAAACGACAACGAATTCGAAATATATTGCCTAAATGGATCATAAAACATGCTTCACGTGACCAACGTATGATATCAGATTTCCGTGACATGTGTTGACCTGACCCTGACCTGAAAATCAAAGTACAAGTTTGGTACCCTCAGGGCATCTAAAGCAGCTGTTCATGAGTGTGTAAACAAAAAATGAGCCTGATCTGACTTGTAAGACGGCGTCCAGAACCCAAAATGTGAACAAGCCATACATCGATAATTTTCATTTTGACCTGAGGCGTCATCGGTGACCTCGAGGTCAATGAAACTGACCTCAGGTCAACGGTCTAGCCTCCAGAGGGCAAAAACTCCAAAAATAGCTGTTTCACGAAAAGTGTTTTTCGACAATAACTTTTTACTAAAAAAAGGCCACGACATTTCTATTGCCAGAATCGTGTTTCTCTCGCCGAGACGCATCGAATGAACAATAATTTGACCTTGAAAGGTCAATTTAAAATTTGACCTCAGGTCAAGGTTATGACCTGACCGGAAAAGGTCATGTTGCATAACAGTACATGCGTCTCGGAAAGACAAACACAATGGGACCACCCCACGTTCTATCTCTTTCCAATCGAGAGTTATTGGCAAAAATCTGTTGGTAGCCTCAAATGACCTCGGATGACCTATTTAGAGGCTATCAGCAAAAAAGACACCTTGGTCGTCACGGGTGGTCCAAATCGTTGTGATTCTGAAATATTTGGACTGTTCCTATGCGTACACACGGATCTAGAGGCATTTTCATTTTTCTCCATTGACTTGTAATGGAAAGGTCACGCCACTGGCCTGACCTTAGGTCACTGATATAAAAAATCCGAGATATTCAAATTATAGGCGCCCATAACATCATGTAATCCACCAAGTTTAAAACCTTTCTGACAAACACTGCAGGCTGGACATGATTGCAAACTTTTTTAGGCTTGGTCAGCTAACTTGACCTGGTGACCTGACCTGACATGACCTGGGGTCAAAAATTTTACACCTTGTCCAAAATTGATGTACAAAAAGGTATTCCAAGCGGCGCGGCGCTACGCGCCGCGGTTTTTTATTCACACGCAAAAAACGCGACAGGGTGGTAACATAAGCCCCCCCCCATCTACTGGGGCGAAGGTTAAGCGTGTTAATCCACTAAGCCTTCCGGCGGCGGCTACAGTTTCAACTCAAGCTGCTGGCTGGTTCTTCGGATGTACGCCGTGTCTGCTCGCCAAATTTCTACACGAGCCATCTGCGCTGGCTAACCTGGCCACGTCGACACGCGCCAGTTTCTACTCGCGTTTCTGCACGCGTCAGTTTCTGCGCCCGTCTCCTGAGAGGGCACCTGGTTGGCTCTTCGGTCTACGGACGCGCGCGATCTCTGCGCGGTTTCTGCGTGCCGACCCCTGCTGGTTCTGCGGCGTGCGTCATACGCGCGTGCAGGCTTCTCTGCGCGTCAGCTTCTACGTGGGCTGACTTCGGCGCTGCCGGTAACGCTGCCGGTAACGCTGCCGGTAACGCTGCCGGTAACGCTGCCGGTAACGCTGCCGGTAACGCCGCCGGTAACGCTGCCGGTAACGCCGCCGGTAACGCCGCCGGTGACTGCCGGCTCCTGCTCGCCTCAGTGGCGTGGCCAGCAACTGTCACCCGCGCAGCGGATAGCCAAATAAAGTAGACTTTATTCGACGCAGGGAGGACTGATATGGTTTATGGTGTTTCGTTTGAGCGTGATAATTAACCCGCGCGGGGCTGGGGTCTCCAGCCGAACGCGCGGGGCTGGGGGTGGGTAAATTTTACCCCCGCCCCCTGTTATCTCCCGAACTAATGGTCCGATTTGGAAAATTCAAACGCCAATCGAAAAATCTAATCACGAACAACTAAAAACATGTACTTAATTTAATGTTTGAGGTCAATGTCAAGGTCAAGGTCAGGTCAAGGGTACAAATGGCAAGTTTCTACAGTATCGGCCTTGCACCGTAGTTGCCGAAGAATGGACTGAGACTGATTGCCCAAAACGTGTTCTTAGGCTACCAAGACAATATTCGTTGCATACAATATCATTCAGAGGTCAAGGTCAAGGTCAGGTCAGGTCAGGTCAGGTCAGGTCACCAAAAACAAAATATAGAAAAGGGCATGTGCGACACATGTTTTATGGGTCATTTTATTCATAGAATTCAATAGACACACTCAATAGGTGATATGGACCACATGTGGATGAATTTCAGGTCGAGGTAAGGTCAAGGTCAGGTCAAGTGAGGTCAAATTTTGAAGTTGGTTGTTAAGGCCTAAAAAGGTGTCTATCTGATGCAGTGTTTCACGGCGAATCGAATGGTGCTATTTTTGTTTCCGTACGAGGTCTAGAACTTCAAAAAAAAATTCATTTTTCAAAAAAATTGTTTGACATGACGTTATAAAATTTTGAATATCTCCCACATTTTTGAACCGATTCTTCTAAAAGTTGGTATGTAGGTGCACATGGACCACTGTTCTGACATATATTCCGGTTTTTTCGATACACGCAAAATTTTGGATTTATAATTATTTTCCCAAAAAAGTCATTTTTAAAGAAAAAAATTGGACCAAAATAAAAAAATTCAAAAACCGAGATAGCAATTTGATAGACAAAGTAAAATCACGTATCATCTTTTTTGTTACGTCTTGATTCCCTTAAAAATGAAGATGTTAGCGGCGTTTGAAATGTTGCCGTTTTTTTAGGCGAAAATGGCGAACATGACGTCACTAAAACGTCATTTTCTAAAAAAAAAATCCGAAGGACTTCGCTCAAATTTTCAAGGAACGTGTCAAATTGATGTAAGAAAAGGTACTGAAAGTTTGGCGGCGCTGCACGCAGCCGTATTTGAGATATTCTAAAAATTCGCGAGGGGGTAAAATTTACCCCCCCCCCCCAGCCCCGCGCGGGTTAAGCCTCGCCTGCCACCTGATGGTGGGCTCTGTTTGAGCTCTTGTGTGTTTGGTAAGCTCGGCTCTGAGGTTTTGGTGAGCCTGGCCCTGGGAGTTTTGGTGAGCACGGCTCTGGGTTTCGGTGAGCTCGACTCGGGGTTTGGTAAGCTCGGCTCCGGGATTGGTCGAACCCAGCTCGGGGACTTGGGGGTTTGATTTAGGTTTAGTTTGTAAGTGCCAGTTAATTACGGAGCGAGCGAAGCGAGCGGAGTCTTTCCTTAGATTAACGGAAATTTCTGAGTGTGAGCGGCCGGCCGGCCGTGGTCACGGTTTTGGGCGACGCTTATATCTCAGCAACCACTTGACCGATTTACAC